GTAAATTTTATGGTAAATATAAATCGTAAATCATAAATTGGAATGGGATTGTCGCACTTCTTGCTCCATCAGCCTTCATCGTCCAGGACGGGCTCTAGCTTGTCGATATTACGCTTACGGACCTTGTCACCGTAATATTCCAATATTGCACCGATGTAACCCAGTCGATAACCTCTGAAATATCTTTATCATTTTTTTCTTATATAAGCGCTATTTTTATTGCTTATTGCCTTTTTTTCGACTATTCTAAACCTAATAACGTGCTTCGTTTATCGAATTCTCTATCTCTCATTTTCTATTTTCTAGCCCATAATTGTAAAAAAAATGAAAAAGAAATGAGGTCTTATTTTAAATTTATTCGTAAGCAAGCAGGTGGTGCAAATTCGCTATAAAATTTAAAAGCAAACTAGTGAAAATGAAATTTTATAGAGAATAAAACTATGGCTAACGGTGTTGTTTATTAATTCTTTTGTGAGGCGTACGGAAGATAATGAATTATTCAGAAATGAGGACACACAGTAGAATAATTTGATGCAAAAATAATTTTTCGAAATTTTCCGCATGACTGGTTTCACTCAACGGATAATCTCGCTCCCATCTTCTTCATTATTACCGTCAGATTTCTTCGTTCACATGGAAAACCTTAATTTTGAATAGTTCGTCGATCCCGAATGAACAAAAGAAAGAATATATTTGGCTTAGTTATTTCAAATAAAAATAGTGAAAAATATGGAAAGAATGAAAAAGACACACTTAAATTCGTTTTGCAATTATCAGATAAAATCGCTCGAAGAAAAAAAAATTTTTTTAAGGCTGAATTTGCAATAAAAAAAGTTAACAATTCAAGTGTAACAATAAAAAGAAAGGTGAAAAGAGGCGATTAAATGCGAGAACGCAAATGCGAATAACTAACTATAACGAATCGAAATGCTCGAACTTAAAAGCTTATCTGCTCATTGGCCTTGGGAATTGTTATGACTGAAGCCATACAGTGTGTCGCTTATTATATTTTTGGCGTCCTCCATAACAGCGGGAAAATTTTTTTATTTCTTCAAGGCCGAATAATCCAAGGAAAACGAATGAATGAATTGCATAAATTGCGAATTTTCACAAAAAAGAATTAAACCATTCAACAGTTTTCACTTCGAATCTATCATTTATTTATTTACAATAAAACAAGCAAAACATAAAACCATACTGTGTTGGTATTAATTTAAAAAAAGAGGTGAAATTTAAAATTAGTAGAAATTTGAAAAAAACGAAAAAGCGATAGGAATAATGCAGACCATGGTTTGAGGCTGTGGTACTACACGACCGAACGCCTTCTAACCCCAAATGGATGAAACGTCATGCAGCGACTCATAACTCAGTAGTTAGTAACTGCGCATTCAATGAAGAATGCTACACTGATCCTACGAATCATCAGATTTATATATTTATTTCATTTAGATACTTCGAGCGGTATCAGAAGCTAAAACCATAAATATTAATATCAGTGAGGTGACTGCATTTTGCTGTAACTTTTTTCATGCCCATCTTTTTTTGATAGTTAGTTAATTTTATTCAATTGTAAACGGTTTCAACAATCCATTTCGCATATTCTCAATAGAATAAAAATTTCTTTGTTAGCAAAATTCACCAAATGAGACAAAAAAACCGATCTGATCGAGCTGAAGAATATTTCTTCGAAGAGAAATATCTGACAATAAAATTAATTTCTACTAACAATGGGAGATTTATATTTACGATTGCGACTCATTCCAATTTACTCAGACAATAAAAAAATAAGTAAATTCAAATCTATAGATTAAAGATAGATAAGTCAAAAAATTATCCTTCAAGCGACCAGATTCATTTTCTACGTAGTAATATTTCTAATCGGAAAATGTCAATTAAAATTAGCCAATAAATGGTACTTGATTGACAAAAAGGTGCAAAAAATAGTCTTTTGGGATGGAATTTAATTTTTTTGTTCGAAATGAGATGAAACGAGCACTTCTTCATTGTCAAAAATTGTGGCAATTTGATGAGAAATATCATTTTATCAATAAAGAGAGGCGAATAAAAGATAAAAAATGCTTAAAAAAAGTAAACGAACTTCTTTGCACCATTTGCTTATTTACAACAACTTTTTATTTGATTTTATAAAAACTCCTGAAGATTCATTAGATTTTGAAGATTCATCCTTCTTTCTCGCTTTTCAATTTTTCTTTTCTTCCCTTTAACGATTAAATTATGCGAAAATCAACTATTTGCCATATTCTTTTCCTCAATAAACATTTCATTTTCGCATAAAAACGTCTGAAAATAAGCGATTAATGGAATCGAAAAGACAAATTAATAATAATTTATATTGCCGATTTATCAGCTTAAAAATTTATAAATTGTTTTTTAAATTCGACAAACCAAATTAATCAAAAATTCAGTGAATAACTGCAGATTTTTTTTAAAATCACCGCAATGGTTCAAAAAGTCTAACTGATTGCGTAAAAAATAGAATAATCCAAACAATTAAATTAAAGACAATAAAAAGACAGTTAAAATATGCTGAAAAAAGAAAAAAGCGAAAAAAATCAATTATGGTTTATTTTAAGAAATTCCATACTTAAAAAATTAAATAAAGGAAAAGTCATAAATAAATTTGCAAAAGAAGAAAACAAAAACAATAATAATAAACAACGAATAATGAATATAATAAATAAAAATAAGAAAAAAACAATTTTGAATAAATTTAAATTTAAATTAAAAAAATGCAAATAAAAAATATTGAAAATGAAAAATGCTAGCAAATAGCAAGTAACAAACCTTTAAAAAAAATCAACTAAAAACAACTGAAAAAACTTTTCTAACAATTTCATCATTGCACTAATTATGAACCAATTCATCAGAGAATCGTTTGAGGACAGAAATAAAAATATGGGAAGTTAGGGAGTCCCTATGGTCCCCAACTGCTTGACAAGTTCACTCCTGGCAAGGGACTAAGAATCTAACTAATGATATTTAGTCGCATAAACCAATGAACCTTCCTTTTTGTCATACAGAAATAGGACAGTTCCATTAAATTAACAATTTTTATGAAATATACGTTCCTAAGACGAAAATCTATTAAATATAGTTTATCTAGAAATTGAAATTTATCTTTTCACTAATAAAAAAAAGATAAGGAAAATTTTAAGGAAAAGTAGAATCTTAAATAAAAGATTTCATTTATTCGTTCAATAAAATTTCTGCTACTATAATCGATAAATTGATAATCACTGATAAAAAAATTTAAAACTGCCTTATTATTATGAATGAAGCATTCTGCCTTTAACTGTGGGGACAAAGAGACTGCTGAGGCTTAGGCTTTTTAAAAGGCCCCTCACCATTACTGGTTAGCCTCGCTCCGCTGGCTCGTCTCACTGGACAAATACGCCGTCACTTGGCGACAGAAAAACAGGTGAGTCGCCAGCATCACTCGGATTTTCGGACAGATTTCTCCTGCGAGGCCGAAGATAATCGAAAGAAATTTGTTGTTGCATGCGTGGAGGTTTTCAACGACGATTTACCGACACTTACTTGCTTTCTTTTATTATTTTCATTTTGTTATTTAATAAATATTTTAAATAAACTTAAATATGAAAGGAAAAAATAAAATTTAAATGAATGATTTGCAATTTTCCAAAACAACGCAAAACAACATTTTCAAAAATATTTCTGAAAAATTTCTCTATAATAAAGCAATAAATTAAAATAAACAAAATTTCACTCAACAAAACCATCGCGGAGGTCGGTGACCGAATTTTAGTAGGCTAAAAATCATCCTCGGCCTAAATATCATTTCGTTGGTTGTTATGCATTTTTTGGTTATTTGGTCGAGGTTAGCACATGGTTTTGTTAGATTGCGATGTAGAGCGGTCGTGGTGGAGGACGTAAAGCTGAGGGGAGAAATGGGAGATAAGGTGGGGAAAAGGAAGGAGAAAACGAAAGAGAGGAAAAGGAAACATTCGTAGTCGTAAGATTATCGGAATAGTGCATCGGAATAGTAAGATTATTAATATAATGGGATAAAAGAAATGATGCGATGGGGTCCTTAATTGTTGAATTCTTTTGGGAGAATAGTGCGGGGAAAAATCCACTTTGAGGGAACTTTAGAAATTTGTAGGAAGTACACGCTGACTTTTTTTCGGATCGGATTTCATTCTAATTCATCTATGTTATTCCATACAACTTTAATTTCGTGTTTTCGTTGTATTTTATGAAACGTAGAAGAGGCGATTTTCTTGAGAGTCCTCACCATTACTGGCTCCCTCCGCTGGCTTGTCGCACTGGATAAATTTGCTAGAGAGTTCCTTGGCGATAGAAGTACAGGTGAGTCGCTAGCATCACCCGGGTTTTTGGACAGGTTTACTCCTGCAGGGAATAGGACCTCAGCATCCGCACTCCGAATTGAACAACAATCCACTGAGCCATTCTATCTCCACAGAAGAAGAAGGTTTAAGAATTGGTGGTTGCATCTTTGGACAATTTTGACATCTTACAAGTGCTAATTTCAAAGCAAATTTCTGCGAAACATTCTTTATTTTTCGCTTTATCTATGCAACCACCAATTCTTAAGCCGTTTTTTCTGTGAGAGCTAGCGGAAATTAGGAATGGCTTTCATTGTTATACTTTCTAGAAAACAACTATGACAGATGGGCAGCAAGATAATCAAAAAAGTACGAATGAGAACGCAGAAGAAGCAAAAACAAGTACGCCAAAACCTGCAACAACCGTTGATTTAAATAATTTAACTGAAGCATCAATTATAAAAAAATTAGAGGTGTTTATTTTAAAATATATAGTTTACTATTTGGTTCAATTGTTTTATGAAAAAAATCTCTGTTCAATTATCATTTTTTTGTTTTGCAAATTACTTTTTCTGTTTTTACAATTAATAAAAATTTTTTACTATACTTTTTATAACCGTTATTTTTGTTTGTTTTCTAATCGGAATTGTTTGTTTCTTTCAGATCCTTGCAACGAGTGGAAATTCAGCCGGATGTAAAGATATAATAGATGCTCAGAATCATCAATATGTTTTCTGGGATACACAGCCAGTGCCTAAAATTGGTTTTATTTCCCTCCTTGTTGTTTTTTTGTTTTTATCACTGATTTTATCAATTTTTTTTAGCCATAAATTTAATAGAATAATAAGCAAAATCAACATTAATTCATATTATTTATTAATTTTTTTTGTCATTATTTTTTTCATTAATTATTAGTTCCGTTGATGTGATCGCTTTGATTTCATACCTCTTAAATGAGCAAACAGCAAATTTGTCATTAAAAAATTGTTGAAATGTTAGCCGCTCACGTTCTATCGCCAAGTGATCCCTTGGTAAAAATTTCTGACCATACTAATATACTAGAGGTGCCAGCCTAACCAGAAATGCTAGTCACTTGCTTCATTAATTTTATTTGGGAGCTTCAAATAAATTTTCAGTATTGCGAAATTTTACGAATAAATAAATAAATATATATTTTTTTAAAACGATAGTAGCTACGATGAAATTTATATTTTTCTAGCAACTTCATAATTATTGGGGAATTCATTGAGATTATTTATATTACAGCGATTTTATTCCCATTAAAATATATTAATTGTTAAATCTGCAATAATGCGGTGATTCGAGAAATTCAGCCTCATTTGTATAAACAGTTAAATAAATTTGACTATTTTAAATTATCTAATTATTACTTATTGTTTGTTAAAATTTTAGATGAAGTGGTAACTGAAAATACGTTCATTGAAGCTGCTATTGATAAAACGGAAGTTCGAGCTGAACCATATTCTTTACCAGATTTATTCTATTGGAGTGATGTAGATATTTTAAATATTGATGAGCTTACCGAATTGTACAATCTTCTTGCAGAAAATTATGTTGAAGATGATGACAATATGTTTAGATTCGACTATAAGCCTGAATTTCTTGAATGGTTATTTTATAAATAAATTTTTTTTTATTTTTTATTTTATAAATCGTTTGTATTATGCTCATTTGGTTGAATTTTTATCTTTTACAGGGCATTAAAGCCTCCTGGATGGAAGAAAAAATGGCACTGTGGTGTACGAGCCAAAAATAATGGAAAATTGCTCGCATTTATCTCTGCGATTCCTTCTAATATTCGTGTTTATGATCAGGTCTTACTTACATAGTTATATTTGTTTATCAGTTCTTTTCTTAATTTCGATTCTTTGAAAAAGTTTATAGCTTTTTAACTTATTTAGGTTTTAAGAATGGTTGAAATTAATTTTCTGTGCGTTCACAAAAAATTGCGATCAAAACGAGTAGCTCCTGTTTTAATACGGGAAATCACGCGGCGTGTTAATCAGATTGGTATTTTTCAAGCAGTATTTACAGCGGGTGTTGTTTTGCCAAGACCTATTGCTACTTGCAGGTATTATTTGTTCTGATATTTTACCAATAGTATCTTTTATTTCTTTGTAGGCAAAATTTCCTGTGGAATATTATTTAAGGTATTGGCACCGGTCTTTGAATCCAAAAAAATTAATCGAAGTTAAATTCTCACATCTTGCTCGAAAAATGACCATGCAACGAACGTTAAAACTCTACAAACTTCCTGAGGTTTTTTTTTAATTTTTTTTTTGTATTAAATTTTATATTGGTTGTCGCACATCGAAATGAATTTTATCAGGTTTTAGGTCCATTTGAATTTTATTTTCATTTTTAGCTGTTTTTCAGTGGCCAAAAACAGAGAATTTGGAACTAATGACTAGTAATGATATTAATAGTTCTCATTTGCTGCTGAGTGAATATTTGAAGAAATTTGAGTTGGCACCGATTTTTTCGAAAGAAGAATTCGAACATTTTTTCTTGCCAAGGCCAAATGTTATACATAGTTATGTCGTTAAGGTTTGTTTTTACTGCTCCTTTTTTTCATTCTTTTTTTTAATTGTTAACTGGCAATATATTGCGATTTTTTTTGGAACTTACGTGTTTTAGTTAACTTAAGTGTTAAACAAACTAAAAATATTTTGAATTATTTTAGGTTTTCGGTTATTTGCTTTTTTTAGAATAAAGAAGGGAAAGTAACAGATTTAATAAGCTATTACTTATTGCCGTCATCCGTAATGCATCATCCGCAATATAAATCAATTAAAGCAGCATATTCTTTCTATAATGTGGCTACATCAGTTTCGCTGAAACAACTCATTAATGATGCTTTAATATTATCACACAATGTTTGCCTTTTAATTATCATTTTGTTATGTTTATTCTGCGAGTTTGGCATTCTACATAGTTGTATTAATCGATTATATAAGACAAACAATTTTAACCTTGCTTTTTAGGATGGTTTCGATGTTTTCAATGCTTTGGATCTCATGGATAATAAAGAATTTTTGGAGGAACTTAAATTTGGCATCGGCGACGGTAATCTTCAATATTATTTATATAACTGGAAATGTCCTGATATAAAGCCGGAAAAAGTGGGTTTAGTTTTACAATGAGTTTGCCATTCATTTGCAATGTTTTAATTTCATCGGCATAGCACTTATCAACTATCATTTTTATGTTTTTTATTTTTCCAATATTTATTAGCTTAAATTAACATTTTTCTTATTCTCATTCGGATTATCACAGTTTGGTTAGATTTCTATTCCTATTTCTATTTTCATTGTTATATTTTATTTTACTGTCCACTATAATTTTTTTAAGAATTATTCCTAACTTAATAGAGCTTTTTTTGCTCAAAAATCACTTCTTTTCGTTTTTCTTTATATACAAATATACTAAAATGTAAAACATAGATAGATAGAAGATGCTGATAGAATGAAAGATTCTACTAAATGTATTTTTTTAAATTTGTCTTTTCTTTTTTTAAATGATTTAAATGATTAAATGATTTATTGAAAATATTGAATGTTGATCATTCCTTTTTTTGTTGGATATTTTTTAAATGGAAGTATTTTGTAATTGTCGATATTTTGCTTTAGATACATGTTTTTATTTTTTATATTCCGATCTAATTTTAATTATCGAAATGAATTTTAGGTTAATATAATTGTGATTGTTATAATTGTTTTTTGAATGTATTTTTATTGTTGAAATCGAAATTGTTGTTCATTTTTTGATCTATAAATTTATTGAAATATTTAACATGTATGTAAACGAGTGTAGTTATGAAAAAGATCTAATTGAAAAAATAACTCGTTTAAGTGGAAACTAAATGGAGTTCCATACAAGGCAATAGTGAAACTTGCAGTTAAAATGGCTTGTAAGGAAGGAATTTTCCGGACCAAATTATTTTTACTCGATCGCCATCGCTATGATTCTCTCGTTCCACATTAATTTTAAAATCAATAGCACTCATTATTCCATCACCAAATTCTTCATTAATTATTTCTTTAATAGCATCGCCATAAACAAATAGCACCTAAAATTTTGATCTTAAATCTGAACCATTGTCCATTCTCCTTTCTTTATATAACTATAACTTACTGGTCTGAATGGAATATATTGCAACATTTTTTTTTTAAGAGTCTTCACCATTATTAATTAAACTCGCTCCGCTGGCTTATCGTGGTTATGAAAAAGATCTAATTGAAAAAATAACTCGTGGAAACTAAATGGAGTTCCATACAAGGCAATAGTGAAACTTGCAGTTAAATATGCCAGGAAGTTTCTTGGCGATAGAAGTACAGGTGAGTCGCCAGCATCACCCGGTTTTGTACAGGCTTACTCCTTAGTATCGGCGCCGCGAATTGAGCAACAACCCACTAAACCATCCTATTCATATATTGCAACATTATAAGCCCTTAAATTAGAATCTCAAATCTGGAATTCGAGAAATATAGGCGAAATAAGACAAATGCGTGGAATCAATTTCGGTCGTTATTTCTAATATTTTTCTGCTATTGGCTGTAAATACTATTTTCTGCAAATACTACATGAGTTAGAAATAAACAACGTTGTAGTTCTCACTTCATGCATTCGATATAATAATGGATCGTGAGGTATATGCGATGAACCTTTGTATGGTGGAATTTGTAGCCAAGCGATTGCTTCAGATTTTAGATTGAATAAATCTGCGACCTTCGTTGCTTCTTCCTGGCTCATTTTCATTTGTCCAAGACATGCAGCAACTGTCCATTCTTTGCTTCGCTGAAGACTTTCAGCAACCTTTCCCCACGAAATATCGTATTTGACCTTATGGCTTAGCAATTCAGCGGTTACTTCGCTTCGAGAATTATACATCGAAAGAATTCTAAAATATTTTTCCTAATATGCATCTTAAGTCCCATTCTTTAATAAATTCATTGGTAAGATTATTAATTATAGAATGAAATATATTACCGTTCACCCTAAATGATAAGCTGATAGCCATTAGATAGCCATTTGCAGATAAAAGTACATTTAAGCCTAAATCAGCGATCTTTTTCTAACCACCGGTTAACTTCTGTCGAGGGCGAGCTTATATTGCTTGCTTTCAGCAAACACATATTTCAACCACTCATTTCTTGATATCCGCCGGAAGTTAAGGAAAAAAAACGAGGCCCAGATAAGAATATTTTATTCAGAATAAGAAGAGGAACCATCGCTGGAAAAATTGTTTTAAAAAGGGCTGCACGAAATGCTCGATTCCCTAACTCTAAAACATTTCTTCTGGAGCGAACCCGCCAAATCCATCAGAAAATGCGGGTATTCGCCTCCGAATCCCGGCAATTGCGCGCAAAACGCTCGGTTCCCCAACTCTAGCTGGAGTAAGCGTGTCAAATCGCGCCGCCCGGCCATTCACCTCCCTCCGCTTCTATCGTCAAGTGTCCCTTCCTAAGTGCCGAAATTTTTAAGCGCACCAACGAAGAAGTTGGAAGCAGTTCAACCAGAAATCCTAAGAAATTAATTGCTTGAGAAATGCGATTCGAAAAATTTTTAAATTAACGATAATAAATGAAACGAAATCGAATAAAGCAAAAATATTTCGTGGAAAATTCTCAAAAATTGATTTCAGTGTAAACGATGCGTTCGGCGTTTCGCTTTTCGTCCGCCGTTCTTTCCTTCATAGTTTTTTCTCTCCGATTTCATTTTACTCGTCTCCATGAGTGAATGAATTTTATGGAAGCGAAATCCTTGCTTCTCGCAAACGGTTTCGTCATAATTCTCATATCGTTTTCCACGGAACATTGGGTAAAAACTTCGTATTTCGTGAAATATCTGCCCGAATTTTGCGATTTGCACAAATTTGAATATTTTTCGATTCTGCAGTGTGGAAAAGAGAAACGATTATTAACGCCGCAATATTCAAATCTATTTAAACAATGCAATGATTTAACAAGTAACGCATTTTTGATTTAGCGATTACCAGCAGTGCTTAACTGATAATTGAGGATTGGCATTTCCGGCCGAAGTCCTCAGCTTTGGTACATTCACTCCGTGTTGATGGAATGAGGAACATAGAGGAGATACTGAGCACATAGGGGTTCGACTTGGCGGAAGGAGGACAGTCAGCTGTGTCGAAGCCAACTGCCTAACCTTGGCAGACTGGTTTTTCCAGTGAACTGCTCTGCTGATGCTGCCTTGACAAGTTTCTTTACTTGCAGCTAGTTGAGCCAGAAATAGCAAACCAAGCACCACAAATGAGTTTATTTAATTATATTTTTGGAGGTTTTATTTCGCCTTAGAAATTAATCAAAATTTCTCACATGAAATTTCTTGCGGCGAAATAAAAGGATAATTTCAGCTGGCCTTCGCAGTAATGTTTCCCGCTCGGGCCTCTTGTATGACGCAAGCTGCACGATATTCCTCTGGCGTCGTCAGTGGCGTCCAAATGCCTATTCAGCACTAATCGACTCACTGTCACTATTCCTAGCACTTATCGCTATAGCAACGCTTTTTGCAGCCTTCATAACAAGTTTTAATCGTGAATTATGCGAGATAACATCAACTGCACTTGCCATATGTGCGGGATGCTTTACGGGCTCCATTGTTGGCTCGTTAACAAACATACATCGCCTAAACGCATTTCATTCAACCACTTCAATTGATTCCATCGTACGTTTCTAATTCTGGTTGACAACAATATCATGAATTCGACCCGTTCTCCTTGAAATAAAGGGAGCAAAATGCGGAGCTAACTGCTGGGGAAAACCAACTCTCTCAGCGGTCCCCGCAAAGGAGTTGTACATTCTATTTAGCTTATTCTTTTATGTAACTTACTTTTCAAAATTCCTTTAAATCAATCAAATAATAATAGAACAATAATAAAAGAAACATAAAAAATAACATATACTAAAAAAATAAACAATTTTGCACGATAAACATACAGCAACATTTAAAAATAAAAAAAAACATTTATGCGCAAAATTCTCTTCCGAAATTTAAAAGTACGATTGTTCCAGTTGGATTCATGGACGAGGGCTGAACCTGGATGGAGTTTAATGGTCGGAGCACTTGGCTCGATGATAATAGCAGTCTCGTCATACCTTTATTTGGTTGCGATTAAACGCGAAAAATTTCGACAACTCAGCGTTCGCCGACGTCGACAGATGCATAAAGCTTTAATGTTATCATGTCGACAAGATGTAGCACTCGCAATAAGAGCTCGCATGACAGTAATATGAGGTATACCAAATCGTCTAAGGCTTGGAAATGGCATCATACTTTTTCATACATTTTTCTTTCCTACTTTTTCAACGATTCTACAATAACAGAGAAAATATAAAAAGTTAACCACAAATAGAATATTTTACACGTAATTAATATATACTTGGATCTTCGTATTTCACAGAAAAAAATATAATAAGATGAGATGCGAAATATAAAATATAAAATGCCAAACACTCTCTTCAGTTTTAAAAAATACAAGAATATCTGAAACTCAAAACCAATTCAAAAACCAAATTATCAGTATGAAGAAAGAAATTATAGTAAGAAAGATCCGAGTACAAAAAAAAACATTGTATACAATACAAATACAAATATTTACTTAAAAATAGTAACTTCCCATTTATTTCTCTTTTAACTCATTTTTTTCATAAAAAATTTTATTATTTCTTCCATATAGAACTAAAAGACTTTTGAAGCTTGAACGTGAAAAATCACCATAAATATAAAAAATTGAATTCAAAAATAATGCCATCAACAGACAAACAGTCAAAGAAGACAAAACCAGTATGTTTCAATGAAAAAATCTGACAATTAATTAAGAAAATAATTAAGGAAATTCAATAAAGAATAAAATTTAAAAAACCCGTATTGAATATCAAAGCTTTTTAGATTTTTTTGATAAATCCTCATCTTTACCATCTTTCTGAAAATTACACATATATATCAAATATCTTGAACAAATACAAAACATTTACACAAGTATTTGCAAATAATAACCAACCTTTTTTTTCTTATCCTTTTTTTTCTTTTTTTGCTTCTTATAACTATCATCGCCTTTGTGTTTTTTATATTTTCTGTCGGAATCAACATCTAGATTTAATGAAGTGGGTAATTCACATTATAGTTTATAATTGTATAGTTTTTAAAAAATATGAAGAAAGCAATCTAATATATCAAATGATAGTGTTAAATAAGTGCCGAAATAATAACAACAAACCATCTAGATCTTCGAAACTCCTTTTAAATCTTTTCACAAGTTTACCCTCCTCGTCAATATCATCATTTCCATTGCTATTATTTAAATCATCCATTCGTTTATCAAAAAATCTTTAAAAAAATATTTTAAAACACCCGGAACATTTTGAAATATTCAAACTTGAAATTCTTAGAAGAAATTTATAAAAAATTTAAACTAAAAAAGTGAAGGTTGAAGGAGACCTATATGGCTCAGGAACTGCCCCAGGTGTTAGCCTGAAGCCGGCCATAGCGCTTGATGATAAGCTTGTAATTTCTTTACCAGTAATAGGTGGTTTTTCGACTAGCATTCGCAATGAACTGAAAAATGTTTTAGCATCAAAAAATATTGGAAATAAATTTTCCAAATTAGTAAGATAAAATAATGATAAAAAAGATTTTTGGGATATATAAACACAACAGAAAGAGCAAACCTAAATTCTAGAGAGGAATCGAAATTAAAATTGCCAACAAGATGCGGTAAAAAAGATGCCAAATCTTCACGCATTTTTTTTGCACCACAAAATCGATGATAAGCAGCACTCATATCGTATTCAGCTAAGAGATCATGGCTTCCGAGCAGTACACTTTGTTCTGCAAAATTTTACCAGACTTAATAGTGATGAGCTAATCTAATAGAACAAAGACCTATTTTAAATAATTCTAAAACGAAAGCTGAAACTTTCCGTGGAACCATCTAATGATATGGACAGTCGTGGAACGAAATCATAAAGAAATTATTCTCAATGATCAATCAAATGGATATTAAAATAATAGCGAAATAAAATATACGAGAACAAAATTTAGCAAAAGTTAAAGAAAGAACTAAAAATTTTCTTACGAGGTAATTCAGGTTTCATAAGATGAAAAGGACACACAAGTGATGACTGAGAATAACCACCCTTGAGTGAGATTTTCGTTCGCAGCGAGCCTGAAGAAGCAACGCCGCCTGTTGAAATATCCATAATAGTTCAGAATCTACAAAAAATTTGTAGAAATAGTGCAAACTTACGACAGTAAAAATATAATTGAGAATTCCTTTGCATAAGGAAATTTCAAAAATTTTTGGCAAAAAAATTGTATGATCTATCATCTATTAATTAATTAATAATTAACGTCATAGGGTTTGTTTAAATTAAAATTTATACCAGTAAAATTTAAAACCAATAAAAGACAATGTTTTCGATATGCATTCAAGTAAATTAACAAAAATTAATGGGTAAATTAAAATTTTTTGAAAAAAGAATCAGATTTTAAGATTTTTCTCACATATTAAGATGGTTCTTTTCGAGAATTCACAAACTAATTTGGCGCTTTTCTCGTTAAATGCTCATTAGCTTACAAAGGTAAGTAAGAATGATCGCTGATTAAAACTGACTCAACGAATATTGTCTTTAAAATATTAAGGCAAATGGAAATAAAACGTAAAATAAAAGTGGGTAACCACCTATGACGATAGTCGATGAAGGACTGATCAGTCAGTTCGACCAGCTGCTAACCTTACATATGTATTGATTAGCAAAGACGTGCTTCCACTTGCAAGGTCAAAGGTTGGTTTGAAAAAAAATGAAACTGAAATTAAATACAGACATCATTGACTAAAAGCCATAAAGATGAGGTCAAAAGGTCAAAGTGCAAGTGTATTATTGCCGAGATTTAAAAATTAAAGCTCTGATATGTTAATCGCCGAAGTCAAACAAACAACTATATTTTCACGAGATAGCAACAACAATTGGAAAAAAAATCACAGCAATACGCCGTGAGCAGACGGTCGGCGCTGCAATTTAGTCAGTGATATTCTTCTGAAAATCCGCGGCCCAATTCCGCGGTCGCATGAAATTCGGCTGGGCGGGAATGATTTGAATTTTTGCGTTATATTTTTTTGCATGGTTGTGGTTTCGTTGTTCATCGGGAGGAATACTTCGTGGGTTTGGCCCCAGCTTTCTTTCAGGGTTCGGGACAACTGCCTCGTGCTTGTCACCCCATTCGCTTCATTTTTTAATATATTTGTTGTCTTTGATTCGATTTAACTGAACGTTGCACTCGGTAATTTATTTGCCATTAATTGAATAAAATTCGATTTTAATTTTTTTATTCAGAAAGTCCAAATTTGAATTAATAAATCCAATTTAAATTTACAGATGGATGCGATCGGATTTTGCCATTTAAGAAATGCTAAAAATCGCGGCTTAATTTGGCGGAAAATGAAACGGAAATCGGATAATTCCCTTTCATCGTTCAAGTACATCAAATTTTTTTCTCATTTGCACTAATTTTTATTTTCCGAACCTATAAAATTTCAGTTCTCACTTTTCTGGAACACTTTCCTGCCAGTTTGTGATTGTCCGCTGTCCTGCATTATGCGTCATTGCGGCCCTCCTAAGAATCGCACCTCAGGCAGTTTGCCGAATTCCATTTATTCTTTAATTTTTCATTTTCTTGCATATCTTCTACTATATTTTCAGATTAACAAACGAACAGAAACATTCGTTAAGTTATATAGCATATCCTGTTAATTGTCCAGCTTGCTTTTATCAAAAGCAGTTATTACTGGATTGTGTGCAAACGAATACTCTCATTGCACTACCAAATGAATTTGATGCATTTTTCGTTGCTTCAGTCTTAATGTTGAATTTTAATCGGTTCTTTTTATTTATCTCATTTGTTTTAATTTTAGAAAATGAATTAGAGTTTTAGAAAATTGATTTTCCTAGATTATATTTCTTAAATTTATATTACTGCAATTTACAAGTAATTATTATTGCTTTTTACTTTTATTATAAGAAATTTATAATTATAAGTCATAACAAATTATTTTCATTTTTCATTTAGTTTTTATTAAAATTAAATTATTGATTTTAATTGCAATCTTTCCTGTTTATACACTTTTTATCTATTTGTTTCGCTGTATTATTAATTTATTATTAATTTCTTTATTTTACTAAATTATTCAGATGGTTTCCTATGAAAAAAATATTATTTATTGGTTCAACAGCAGAATCTAATAGAATTTTGTCGAATCATTTTGTTGAAATCACTGGATTTCGACCAAATAATATATTTGTTTCTTACGCGAAGAAAAAATCTGCTAATGTAGAGCAGTGGAACAACAGCGAAGTTATTTTCATCACAGCTGAAGTATTTTACATTTTATTTCATTCCTCATGAATTACGCCACAGCTACTTTTTTGCTGTTTCTTTTTTTAGAATCTATTGGCAAGTAGCTTAGTTGATGTTAACTTCGAGAATGTTGGTTTAATAGTTATTGATGAAGCACATCGAGCAATTACGGGGTCAAATTCCGTCTGTGAAGTAGTTCGACGTCTACTTTTTGCTAAAGTACGTTAATTTATTAGTTACCTATTAGTTTCATTTTTTTTTTTCAAAAGTTTTTCGATTATTCTCGTTATATTTCAGGCTGTTTTTCGGATCGTTGCGCTCACGAATGATCATATAGATAAAACTGCTGTTTTGCAATCAGTAGTAACAAATTTACAAATAGGTCTAATTAGAACTCTCAGCCATTTTAAATATGAAATATCAACAGTTTTTTCATCTCCTCGAATGCAAAAAATTTACATACCTGTAACAAAGGAAATATCAATTTTAAGAGATTCGTTAACTGCGGTAAAGTTTTATCTTTTTCTTTATTTCTTTTTTACAGGAAGCAGTCATTCTAATTTATTAGATTATACATCAGAAAAAACCTTTCTCTTTTCTTCTTTGAAATTTTTATCTTTTCAAAAATTCATTGCAAAAAATAGATAATTTGTGAAAGCTTCTCTAATATTATATAAATTTTAAGATTCAAAATTTTTGAAATTTATCTGTCAATAAAGATTATAGGCAATGAAACCTTTAGTAAATATTTTGGAGCAGAGTGGAGTTCTTTTTACCAGTGACATTTCTAAACTTGCCAATTTTTCCTTGCATCCACTCAAAAAAATTATTGAAATGAAAGCAAATCATTTATCTGATTTATTCACTACTTTATTTGATTTTTTCGAATTTCTTGACGTATTAATGTGTGAAGGCATGATCTCATTAGCATTTTGCTTGCTTGGTAAGCGTTTAAGGGTAAATTTATCTTTATTAAAGTTCAGGTTGAAATGAAAATTTTTTGGAATTCGATTTTGATTTTGTTTTGAGCAGTTTTGTAAATGAATATTATTAATATTTGCAATAAATATGGCAAAGAAACAAGAAAACTAATATTTTTTAAAATGAGTTTTTTCAAGAGAAAATGCAGCAGAATTCAACTCTTCGCTGCATAATAGAAGCAAATGAACAATTGCAAGGCTTCATTTTGCAATACAAATCTTCAAAAAGCTTTTCAATTAGCCATAAAGTTGAACATCTTATTCAAATCATAACTGATACTCAGTCTTTTCATCGTGAGTTTTTTACTTTTTTTCACAATATTTTTTAATTTTTTTTTGTATATTTAGAAATTTAGGCGGCGAAAAATCCATTGTCGTTTTATTATTACGACATCGAATTTGTTTGGCGAACCAAATTTCGAAAGCGCTCATCGATCATTTCAAACAGATTCCTGTTAATGTTATTAATAGCGGTGATTTTTTATTTTTTTATTATATAAAAAATATGAACCTTTAAAATTCATGAACCGGATTGTTGAGAATGAATTATGCAAAAAATGAATTTATTTAGACAAATTTTAATCACAAATTTATAAATTCTTAAGATAAATTCTGCAACTGCATGAATGAATTCATGCAGTTGTAGAATTTTTATAACCTGCTTGCAGTTTACGAATTTAATGCCTTATTCCAGTAACTTTCCGACAAATTCGATATACAATTCAACTGAAGAATTTTTTTTTTGAATTTTGAAAAAATTTTTCTTACAGGGCTTAATCCAAGATTCGATGAAATTGATTATAATCAAATAAAAGTAATATTTTTGCACTTCAACCGTAGTTAAGGAAATATTCAATTTTAACATTGAATCTAACATTTCCTATTAAATATAAAAATATAAAATAAAATAAATGGAAGGTTGTATTTGAAATCAGTATGTGTGAGAATTTGTCTAAATAAATAAATATTTTGAAAAAAAGTCTTTTCTTAGCTGAAAAACACCATTTTTACTTCGAAAAATATTCTTAGAATGGAATATGCAATGTCATTATATTGTTATGCGATTCCATAAAACTGCATTCTTGTTGCGTTGCTGATTGTTTGATTTGTTTCGATGAAGGGTTGGTGTTTTCTTCAAAAGCATCCTCATTTCCATAAAATTTCGAGGTTTATTTATTTAATGAAAAATTTACTCTTTCGACTATTATGCTTTATTTTTTTTTTCTCATTTACAGTCTGTCATGTGTTAATTATACTGGAAATATATTGGTGAACAATGAAGGACGAATGTATTCACTATGTACTGCTCAGTATGAAACGGTAAGTTTCTTTCGATGATGGCTTTTGCTTATATATCATGTTTTTATTCTTGTTTGGTTTATCTTGTGTTTGTAAAAATCATTTCTTTTTAGAATTTATATAGCTTGGCTTCAAGTGAAAGCGCTATAGATTGTATTCCATTTGAATGTATAAAAGGTGCTCAGTTGTGCATAGACAACCCAGCTATTATTCCTGATGATTTTAGTCCTAATTTTGCTGAATTTTGTGATGAAAAGGACGAGTAAAATTTTAATTTAATTTTACTTTTAATTTCAATTTTTAATTTAATTTAATTTTAATTAATTTAATAAAATAATTTTAATTCAATTAATTTTTTCACTTTCATTTTTTAATCGCTTATTTGTATCTATTAATTTACCTAATCAATTAATGAGATTATTTATTTATAGAATTTCCTTTTTCCCAGCACTAGATCGATTATCATTCAAAATGAAGTTGGACTTTATTAATCATAGTCAGTTGTATGCCAAACTATCAAAGGTAATTTTAACTTCTAACTTTTTTTCCCTTATAGAATATTCTTTATTGATCTTTTCAATGAAAATTTAAAAAAAATTATCTGAGAAGTCTGATTTGCCATTGAAATCATAGATTTTGTTTTCAAAAGTGACAGTGAAAAAAAGGCATTTTTTAAATAAACCTTTTTTTATTTTTAAGACGATCAATGATTTAATATTAATTGGGTGTAAAGAAAGCCTGCTATGGCAAGATACTCCTCAGCGTTTTGCAACAATCGGCCACAGCTCATCTACTTTAACGTTGACAAAAATCGTTTCTGGAGAAGCAAAGAACAAGATTCAATGGTGATTTTAAGTATTTTTATTTTTTACATTTTGAATTTTATTGGTCATTTTTTATTATTTTAACTGCATTACAATTCGTTCTAGAACGCGCTTTCAAATATAAAATTGAAATGGTAATGTTTTCTTTAGAATTTTCTATAAGTTTTTTGAATTCTTGCTTTTGAAAATGAAGGATTTTTTAGACCATCTTAGAATTCATTTCTTATTTTGATCGATAAAGTAACAACCATTTAGGCTCTGCAGCAATCATTCTATGGAACTAATACCAGATAACTTTGATGTTTCTGTGGCTTCTGTAGAATTCGATAATATTTCGGTGGCTTCAATGGAATTCGTATGTGATGATGAAAAACCTGTTAGTTTGATTATTTATGTTGGAAATGAGAAAATAATGCAATTATTCCATTATCAAGAAGCAGATGTGATAAATGCAGATAAGAAAAATTGAATAACAATGAGAACTACTTCAATTTAAAACTAAAATTTGGCCAGATTAATATGTAGATAACCATTTAATTTGATAATTTTGCAATTTTGCACTTTTATTAGAATGGGAAAATCCATATGCCAAATAAGAGGAAATCCAGAATGAAAGTTGCTGATTTGAAAGTTTCTGGGCCACTTCGCATCAAATCCGCAAGTTTCAGTTTTAATAAACCAATTCCGAAGGTATATTTCTTTAATTTTTTTTTTAACCGTGAGTATTTCACTTACAATAAAAAGGAAATTTCAGATAACTTCCAAAGATTTCGTCAATCCTTTAGAAGAAGATGGGGGTTATCGCATTAGAAAAAACGAATTCGCTAGAGTTCTCTCAGTTTTGAAACAACTTTTATTTTTATGAATCTTATCCAATTTTTTTCGCGTTATAATTTCTTTTTTAATTTTCAAATTTATCTGGTGATAAAAAACGTAGTATAATCGTAAACGCTTTTTTCCATTCTTGTCACGAATTTAATTAATTTATATATTTATTTGTTAAATTATCGTCTCATTATTTGGAATTTTTAGAAAATATCATTCTACCTCAATAGGCCATTAAATAAACAGTTGCAATAACATGGATTTAAGTGGGTTTTACTCTTTGTTTTTTGAAAATAATTGACTTTCACTTTCGTTGATCTAAATGACTTTTTTAAAATGCAGAAGAACTATTGGATTTTCCAAGAGATATAAAGGGATTGCATTCAAGGTCAAATTTGCGAAGAAAAAACTTATTAATCACTGCAGGAAATGAAAGATTCATTCGAAGATTTAAGTATGCATGATTTAAATATGATTTCCATTTTGGAAATTTAACTAAACATTCGAGTAATTTCTCTACAAATCGAGTCGATGTTCTAATTTATTTTTAATCTCTGTATGTTTATTCTCAGTTTTTGAATTCTTTATAAAATTTCTGAAAGATTTTAAAAAACCTGAATAGATTTTTTTCCAAAAAACACAATTCTTTGTAGTAATATTTTCAGTGAATTAAATGAATGCTACAGAATAATAAAAAAAAATTTAGGTTATTTGCGCAAAGCAAGTCCTAATTAAGCGAAGTCTTTTTGGCTTTTCATTCGCTTAGTGAATTTAGTGAATTTTTTTACGCCAAATAAGAAAATAAGTTTGCAACAATAACGAATGTACCGCAGTGTGTGTTACGAGTTTATTTGTGCTACCGCTTTTTTGCTTCAAAATTCGGTTCGCCGATTCGTATAGAAAATTCAGAATGCTGGCTTTCACAGAGTGTGAAAGCGATTCTTTATCGAAAGTTCATCGAAATTTTCGCTCATCGTGGCGTTATAAAAATTTGCACGTTGCATATTTCAACTGAAATAAAATTTTACACGACTTGCTTCGGGCAAAATTTTATTCGCAAAATTTCCTTACAAAGTAAAGCACTCTGTTTTTTCCTGGTCATAATGAAATAAAATTAGAGCCATTTGTAGATAAAAGTGCGTGTAAGGTACTGACTGATGTTTGATGTCTGAGTTTTACCTTTCAATGCTGCAAACGGCCAGAATTTTACGATAGCTGGAGCTTTGTGGAAAGAATATGCCATCATGCATCGAAGCACCTTATCTCACCGCCACTGCTGCCATAACTGACTAGTTTTCATATAATGGATTGGAAATATAGGCGATTTATTAAGAAAAAACTTTATTTGCAATCGTATTTATTTTTGCTTTGCCGACTTTTCCAAATTTTTTATCAAATCACATTACATTTCCAAATGACCTCCCCCCCCCCCCCCCCCCCCCCCCCCCCCCTACCTTCCTCTCTTCCATTCTCAACCCAATAGAGCTAAGAAAACGGGAATTGATGAGTTATTTTAGAAAAAGAAAATTCCATTCAATTTTGCATGGAATGTGGTATGAAAATGAAAAATTCATTTGACAATTTTTCACCATAATTTGTTAAAATCTTAAAATTATTTAAAAATTTAAGACAAACTTGTTATTTGAATGAAATTATCAGTATAAAAATGGAAATATTCAGCATTTTTTCTCAACGTTTATCAAATATCACATTTAGTTTCTTTAAAAAAAATTATACGCGATAAGCGAAGATTTCATCATTAACCGGATTGTTGAACGATGAAAAAAAGAAATTTCTAATTGTTGGCGGCTAAGGTGACAAAGCTGGATTTCAATCTGACCACAGACTATGACCGGTTCATTATAAAAGGAAACATCCGTATCAGTTGAGAATGTGGTTTGATGATCTCATTAAACAAGAATTCTTTATTAGGATTGGTTCTCAAGAAATCTTTCCCAAATCATTATCGTTCTTTTACTTCATTTTGATAGTAATCATAAATGGCTTCCTCGCTAAAATGCGCCTTTTATTTGATTGTCTTATCTTTCCTCGAGCTCGAATAAACAGAGGTTAAGTAATAATAAAACTGATTGTGATATCGCAAGAAGAACGACCGATCATTGAAAATAATGAAAGATTTGAACGTAGATTAAGGACCAATAAAGCTGAAAGGTGTGAGAAATGAACGTTAGTATTTGACCTTTCGAAACCATTACTTTAATTTTTTGCTCATTTTTCTAGGAATTCCTGATTTATGCAAATCTGTAAAGTAAAGAATATTGCTAAGGATTTAAGTAATTCTCGTAGTATTTCTCCTCATTTTTATTCACTTTCATCTGAACCATTCTTTGTTTTTTTCCTTTTCTTCGCTTTTTTCCTCTAAGCCTGAACACAGTTGTAAATCTATGCGTTCGAAATCTACCCAAATGCTATCCAATAAATCTACGTCTTGATTAGGCCACAATTTCGTTTCTTATAAATCAACCAAGTATATTATTTTTGTGGCTCAAAAAGTTCATGCAGTTTTTAACAAAGTATGGATTAAGTCTGAGTGGATGTACGCGAAACTTGGCCTCTAACGACCCTATCAAATCATTAAGAAACTGTCAAAAAATCTTTAAAGAAGTCGGAACCAAGCCATTTTGCTTAAGAATTTTCTTTTCTCGAATATTTTCCAACGCATTCGTTATACTCACAGTTTAATAAAGTTTAGATCGAACAGGAAAAATCGGCAATGCCATGGAATTTTCACAGCTAGTAGCATTTTTGGTATTGGCTGTTCAAGTGGGTCTTTTTCATTAATTTCAGCCAACTTTGAATTTTCAGCCTATACGTTTATAGATAATATCACAGTAGGGTTGAAACACATATTTACATGAAATAAATACGAAAATGTTTCAAAAACAGAGAAATTATGGCCCAACAAGCAAACAGTATTATACGAAAGTAGAATACCTAAAAGATTTTATTAATTTGTTAATTTGTTAAGGAAAAAATAAAACAAAAACTTCGGTTAGGGAACAAATAAGCAAGCGGTTTGCATTCACCATTCTCATTTTCGTTCTCAGCAAAATAAGACAATTTCGTATTATCAGAGAATTAACATTTGGTGATAGAAGTGAGCACCACCGGATGGTTTTTTTTCACCATAGGATTTTTTTATAGTGCAGTGCTTTTATAGTGCCCATAAAACAATGCTCAACATGATAATCCAAGCAAAAAACTCGGTTGATAGATCTCAGCATAAAAATATTATTCTTTGAGCCACAATCTCCTCTCTTTTTGTAATGTTTTCGAAAAAACGAAAAATAATTTTATATTAAAATTTTGAATAAAATTCGATCGCTCTCAACAATAATACCTCTTTAATTTAATTAAAAATATTTCATAAGTATTTTAGAAATATTAAAATTAAAGGTGACGAGTTTATGGTCGCTAAAAGCAAATGGCACTTTCGTTAACAGTGCTCAAAATCGTCAGTTGATAGCTCTCCCACCAATTATTAACGAATTATCAAGTAATTCATCGAAATCAGAGAACATTCCGCATTTAATAAATAATATTTTTATCGAAATATCATTGAATGCGAAAAATAGAAAAAGGAAAAGAAATCGGAAAGGTAAAATTTCCTTTTTCTCGCAAACTTCTGTTTCTTATAACTATCGACTATCGTCGGCTCGAATCCACTGCTTGCTAAGGCGAGGCCTTTTTGCCTTTTTGAGTCGCTTGAAATAGAAATGATAACCCATCAGCATTTCACTTTTAACAGGGTTGCTTCTATCAAGAAATAATAATTGAATGTGGAATTTGGCTCAGTTTTTCGAAAGATTGCTTTCGAAAGGCTCTTACAATCTTCTTTACAGTCTCTTATTGTACTATCGGAAATTTTAGACCATAATGCGCCTCTTGGAAGCCAAGCTAATCCGATCGTTATTTCACAAGATTTCGATAAAGAAACTCTGGAATTCATTAATAACGAAGAAAGCCTATCAAATAAACCATCGAATGTGGCTGAAGTTAGTTATACCCGGTCGCCGAGTAAAGAAAATTGATATGCTTTGTATGCTTTCTTTACTAATTTCTTGTAGCTTATAATATTGTAGCTCGAGACGATGGTATTTGGAAAAATAACTCGAAACAATCACGCTTCCTCATTACTGCAAACGGCTTCACGACCAAGCCAATTACCTGTTCTGAAAATTTCAACAATTCATCCTTTACTCACTACAGTGGACAAGGTTCCTCTTTTTTACGGTGGAAGAGCTGCGTTACCCACACTTTTTGGTGATTTGGTGATTTCGTAATATTATTATAAAACAACTTATTTCTTAGCTACTACAGCAAGAATAGTTAGATTCTGGAGTACGATTCTGGGGGCTCATACACATTTATTTCTTCTCTTGACTCTAAGACGATAGTTTTTTCACCTCATTAATCAGTGGAGTCTCCAAAATAAGAGTATTATAACTGAGCTCGTAATATTTAACAAATCTCTTAAAAATTATGGAAACAACCTAATATTTAGTTAAAAAACGAATAAACTAAATCGTTACAAAATTTTGTTTTAAATCATTGAGTTGTAATTATTTATATAGAAATATTAGAAGTGACCACATGTCACTTGATCCACTCTTAAAAACCCAGTTTGTTCGGATATTTAGCCATTTTACGAAGCTTGTTTCATGAATTTTGCCTCTTGTTGATAAAATTTTTTATGATAATCACACACATTTATTTTTTGTAATTTCTTATTCATTATCATTTTTCATTTTTTTGTCTAGGAAAGTGACTTAAAAGGATCAGATATTTCAGAATGAAATGGAAGAACGCAGAACAGTTTACAGTAACGAACGCTTCGATGAACCAATTATGACACAACATGAAAGTGAAGATTTTGGTAAAGTGTTCATAAAAGATACAACCACTGATGAATATGAAAGGAGTACAGAAAACAATTTTTATGAACTAATGGATGAAGGCTTAATTGCAGTCGTTGATGGCAAACGAAGTAAAGTAATGCAAGAAGTAGAATTTCATAGAGATAACTCTGACAAAAATTTCTACAAGGACGAAATCGAGAGATTGAATGAAACTCGAGAGATAGAAGAAGAAATCAAAAAAGGAAAGTACACAGCAGTTCCACCACTTGCACCCTCTTCTTTTGAGGCGAAAATGGGTCATTTTGCTGTATCAACTTCATCAATATTTCAGCCCGCTCCGTTATTAGATAATGTTTTATTGCGAATGTCCACTGGAACCCCGGATTATGAAGTAACAAAAATTTCTACGAAATCGTCGCTACAATCTGAAACTACAACACTTCCACTTGGTAAAAAACATGGCATTTCAATATTCCCAATAACTCGTTCCCCTACCGAACAACTAAATGATCAAACGCTAGAAAATTATGGCACAGATGAAGGCTTATTTACAGCTATCAGTGATGAAAAAAATAAATCAAAGCAAAGCGAAGGCTCCAAAGCAAAAATGCAGAAAATTGATACTATAGGTGAGGAAGATATTGAAACGCTAAGCGATATTTTAAGCGAAGAACTCAAAAAGGCCATTTCAACCGTTTTACCTCCAAGAATTAGTCTTCAAAAAATGGAAATTTCTCATTTTAAAAATTCGACAGAATCAAAAAAAATACCAGAGATTACCAGAGCTTTAAGCGACATTTCCTTGGCGACACCGATTAGAACTAGAGAACAACAAACAGTTTATGTATTCACCACCAAATCAACATCGGCAACACCTTTGTCTAAAGATGCAGAATCTACTGCTGAAATGCCGAAAACTATGGGTTCTTCGAAAGAAATCAGGTCTACGACTCCAGCAAAAGCACTTTGGCTAATAGAATTTCTGCCAACAACAACCGAAAAAACGATATCAACCAGTGATAATAAATTCAATGGGAAGTCGAACGGAATATCAATGGAAAGTATTACTTCAGAAATGACATTAAAAAGTCAAGTAATGAAAGCTTTAACAACAGTATCATCAACGAAACTGTCAGAATTCAGTTAGTCTTACTCCCTATTCTTCAGCATTGTTTCTCACTTACAATCTCTATATAAACCACAATACTGAAACAGTTTTAATAAAGAACTTTCAAATTTATTAAGAGTTAATGAAAAATTTATGATATTGAAAACGATAAGTCAAATCAATGCCGACAAAGTTTCTTAAGCAGATTGTCTAGAAAAATGGCTTATCAACTTTATTGAATGTGATTTATCAGTCCACTTTTATTTCAGCGCCAGCAAAGACTGATTGTAAAATTGAAAATGATAAGACTGATTTAACAAAAGCCAATGTTATGTTCTTAATTGATTCGTCTGTTAAAATGGGTTATGAAAAGTTCCAAGGAGCTGTTAAACTTATCAGTGATACAGTGAAAGAGTTCAGAAATATCGGTCCAAATGGAATTCAGGTATAGTCAGTTGGCAAAAATGAGCATAAATATTCCAGAAAAAAATGGTAGTGATAGTCAATTGAAAGCCAGGAAAGATGATGAAAACTGAAGCCAAACTTGCGCTAATCAAAAAAATTATCTCAGATTTTGATATGATTAGGTTATAATTAAATTATAAATATAAGGCAAAAAAGTAATTATTTAAATAATCAGTATGATGAATAATCTGTTGTTAGTTTTTGTTATAATAGAGATTGAAATCCATATCCTTAAAATGCCTTGTAAATACATTATAAAAGAACTCTGAGGGATTCTTTCTGAAGAGAATAACCCGATTGCCATGGATTGTTCTACAGGCTTAATATAAAAACGATCAGTTGTAAAGCTTTTGGCACGCTTTACAAAAAATTTTTTAGTTTTAATTAATAGAATTAAATCAAGAATGAAGAAAGCTTTCCTTGATACTTTCCCTGATACTAGCTTTGAGTTTTGAGGTTGCTTTGGTGCAATTCGCGGAGAAATGCTTATTAGAATTCTCTTTCGACAAGCATCACTGCAAAGAGACTCTTCTTGAGGACATTAACGACACACAATTCTTGAATGGAACAAACAATCTTGAAGATGTTATCAAAAAAGTAATGGCAGATAATCTCATCAATTACAAAGTGAATAAAATTCTTTTATTTACTTCTTTTTCACTTTTATAGACATAATTCATCTATTCATGTTAATGAGATCTCTTCGCCAGTGAATTCCTTAGAGGTAAAAGTTCCACGGTTGGATGCGTGGAACTACTCGGTCTGAGTTTACCATTCTCAGCGCTAATTTATGCGATTTTATTAAATCATCCTCTTAAAATTCGATTAAAAATCTACTTTCGTTGTATGCACCATTTGCATCATTGGATTAATTTACAGGGCATTCGAAGTGATGTGAAAAAATTGTTAGTAATAATAGCTGATGGAAGTTCAAAAGATAAAATTCAGCAACCTTTTGAAGTAATGTTTCGATGATTTTTAAAAAACTACCAAAAATAGACTAAATTTAAATCAAGAATCAAGAATCTCTTCATGAATAAATTTTATTTTATTTAAGCTTATTTTTTTGTGCATATGAATAGTCTTTAGAATGTTTTTTATTGGGTTACCACAGATAAAAGATAAAAGATTTTTCGAGGTTAATTCCGACATTTTAGTCAATGAGAAATTGTTTCTTCAATTTTAATCTGAGTTTTGTTTTGCAAATGAATTTTTCATTCGATCAGACGATTACTGTATTACTTGCGAAGCGAATTAAAATTGTAAGGCCCAGAAAGTTTGCGGGAGTTGGAAATGGTTGTCAAGGAATTTCTAAATTTTACTTCGTATTATTACTAATAATCATGTTTAGTTGGTGAAAAAAGATGGTATAAATATACTAGTGATATCAACAATCGAAGCTCATCCAGATCTTGTAATGCGTTTTACAAGTAGTCGCGGAAAAGCAGATTTCTCGCCAAAATCGTTGGCTACAAGGCTTGCTGATCGGATTCGGGAAATCGCACAGTGTATAGTTTATAGTTTGAATTCTTTAGTGATGGCAAAAATTTTTTTTTAACATCAATGTTCCTTATTTTATTCCATATTTATACGAACTATTTTGCATTAAAAATCGGACAAAAATCACTCATTGTTTCTTGATTGGCTTGATTGACTATTAGTGGCCGTGTAGTAAGAGAATCAGAAATAGGAGAGATAGAAATGTATATATAGGATCATCGATTCGATTTTTAAGATTTCCTCTCTTCAAAAGTGGGAAGGCAAATTATTATGTTTGAATTCAGGCAATATTTTATCATACTCAAAGACACATTCCATTTTTTTAAAGAATCCTCACCATTGCTCGCTCTACTGGCTTGTCGCATTGGGCAACATGCCAGGGAGTTCCCTTGATGATAGAATCCCTGCGGGAAATAGGACCTCAACATCTGCATTCTGAATTGAGCAACAACCCACTGAGCCATTTTATCCCCAAAGGCATACACCATCCATTATTCTGGTTAGTTTTCTAAAAATAAAAAAATTCTTGTCTAAAAGTTGGCGATTTATTGTTTGCATAAAATTTTAGCGGATCAACTTAATGGTGAAACATCTTATAATAGAAGAACTGAAGATGTTATGGAAACTAGCATAGAAGAATCTGAAAGAATTTTCGAGGAAGATGCCGAAAAAATTTTTGATGAGTTATTGGCTCCTTCATTAGATAATTACACCAGCACAACCAAATCGAGCATTCCAACTACTGAAAATGCTTTCATTTATTCGTTAGCACAGCAGTCGACGATGCCTTCTGGTGTCTTCCTTGAATCAGTTTCCTCTACATTGATAGAAAGTACGCATGCAACGACATCCAATGAAGAACAATTAACAATGTATAATGAACAATTAACTACGATGACAGAAACAGGTTTCATTAGCAAAGAACCTGTTTCATTATCGTTACCATCGGAAACTAAAATTGGTGTTCTTTCCGCGGGAGATATCAAACTAAACTGCACAAATCGAGGATTTGGATTAATTATGCAATTTCCGGAAGCATATCGAGGATTTATTTCTATTCAAGGTTCTCCGCAGACGGAAAATTGTTCCGCCGAAATTCAAAACGTGAAAAAACGTGTGAACGCTGAAAATGCTCGACGAACTGTTCATTTCTTTGCGGATTTCGAACAATGCTCAATTAATAAGATTAGATCGGTTAGTTCATATTTAGTTATCGGCGCTTTCATGGTTTTAATTAAAAAATAATAGATTTATTATTATTAAAGTTTTTATGTGGGATTTTTTCGCCAAATTTTTTTTTGCAAAAATTTGTTCGCAAAGTTGCAATTCTTCTTTTTTCGAAAAAACCAAAATTTTTTAGAGTAATCCATCCGGCTTGAATATTTCTGCATTAATCCGAGTGCAGCATAATCCGGTATTAGTCACTAGTGGCGATAAAAGCTTTCTAATAGAATGCTTCTTTCCTGACACCAAGCGTGATTTAAATGTGGATTTGCATATTTCAAGGGCAGTATTTAAACATTTATTTTTTCGTAATCATTGAAATTATTATTTTTATTAATGCCGTTTGGAAGAAAGGTGATAAATACTCAAAGAAAATATATTAAAGAAAATGTATAAAACGTTACAAATTTTAGTGAGAGAGGCGTTGGCGAGACTGTTGCTCTTGAAGCTATTCCACCGACGTGTTCTTATTCATTACGTCGTGATGCGCCAAACGGGCCTCTGGTTTCATCAGCTATTGTGGGTGAAATACTGTATCATAGATGGGAATGTAAAGGAGGAATTGGTAAGCGGTTTTCAGTTAGGCACTTAATAATATTACTATTTTCGCTAAAGCATCCTTTGTTCTCAATATTTCTTTTTCTAAAAGCATGCACCATTTCTGGTTAAGCTCGTTCTCCGATGGCTTGTCGGACTAGACAAGTTTAATCAGCATCACTCGAATTTTTGAAGGGCAGAAAAGAACTGAGAATTTTTGAAGATTTGCTTCTATCAGGCGTAGATCCACAGCATCTGTTCTCCGAAATGAGAGGAACCCATTGAGCTATTCTAAGTGCTTTTCACTGTTCAACACTTGCCCGATGTAATGTGGTGCATCAACTGGACTCGAACCATTTCTAATTCTCGATCTCATTTACCAAATCACCGATTTTCGAGGGAATTAATTTTTAACATCATTTCCAGTAATTTCAAATCTTGAAAAAGATGCCCAAGATTATGATTTACTTATATAGAAAGAAAACGGGATTTATTTAATTACGAAATTATCAAGCCGAATCTCTTTTTAGCAGTTGAAGATGTATATGGAATGTTGATCAATAACTGTATCGCTGAATCGAGTGATCACTTGAGGAACCATTCAATCGTGGATAGCGAAGGGTAGAAGGATTTTTTAATAATCTCCTCATTTAAAGCATCTCCATGTGTGTATCTGCAACTTTGCTACTTTGATTAATATGCAATAGTTAGTCAGTGATTAACATTTCCGGTTAAATTTACTTTATTAGCGATTATTTCACTTTCACTAAATAGTCTTTGGAATAGAAACATAGGTGGGTTCCCAGCACTGAACAGATTTTAATGATAGGTTTACTTTTGAGGTAGAACCACGAACCTTGAAATAATAACCCAATAGTGCCCCGCCACATTGCTGCTCGATTTAATGTGACATAAAATGGGAAATCACTTTTAATTTAGATGTAGTATCGATAAGGATATACTCAGCGATTTAACATATTCTGATGACAACCTTATTGCTACAGCTCGTTCAAATGCTTTTACCTTAATTAATACGAACCGCCTAGCATTTAAGTGCAAAGTAACATTGTGCACGAAACAGTCGAATGGATGCCATGGAATGGTGGTAACATTTTTAGTTAATCACACAAAATGATTGATATAAATTCAAGATGCGGTAATTTTTCCAAATTCCAGCCCCCCGTGTGCAGTAATGAGACCCAACTATTGCACCAGTATTCTCGACGATATTCAGAGTCACTTACTGCAGCGTTGACAACAGGAGTGACAACTAATATTCGAATTTCTCCTTCCTCACCGTCATCATCGCTAACTGAGTCAGAGCCATTAGACGAGCAATCGGTTAATTGGAAAGAGAGGCTAAAAAAATTGGTCGTAATTCCAGTATTCTGGATTCTTATACTTTTTACAACATTTGCTTCAGTTTTGGCCATTGTTTTAGTACGGTTAGCGTTTAAAAACTATTTCTAACTACACTAGCCTAGAAAAAATGATGTGAAGTTCCTTATTAATAAGTAAAGCCTATAATTTTTTAAATTATTAATAGAAATTTTTTTTGGAAAAAGTGGCACTTACAAAGGATCAATTATAATATTCAAGGCACGGCTCTGATGTTTTAATAATAGGTTTGATTCTGCTGAACGAGGCGAAATGATAATCTAAGCAATTTATCCATCTAAAAAGAGACTCAGCTAAAAATCACTATTAAAATTTACTTATTAATTAACCAGTTTATTTAATTAAAAAAAAGTTAACCTTGTTTTATCCGCTTCCAGGCATTTCCGACAGCAGAATTATGAAATCAACGACGAATGCTCAGTGAATAGTGGATTTTCTGATGAATATAATTACCGCCCTAGTAACCGAATTGTATTTGATGGGCGAATGGATCATATTCAAACATTAAATTCAATGGTGCCAGATCGAAGAATTTTTTTAAAATCAAGAGCACAGCAAGTGAAAACGACTAATCAATCCACGCCATAACGAATTTCTTTTACTATGTCGGATAATGTACTTTGCCAGAATGCGTCTGAGAATAGGAATGATACCTAATTCATCTTCTTTACATGTTGAAAAATTATCACTTCAAATTGAAATAGTGATTTTCTCGTAATTGACTCGTATAACTGACAATCTTTCTTCTGGTCTAAAAGCTTAATTATCACAGCTTGAGAAGGAAAATTAATGAATTAGCTTTCTACTTTATTTTAGATTTGAGCATAATTTCCAAAATTTTCCCAAAGCTAATCGGTTTCCGTTTTACTTTACTATGGTTTATCAGTACATCGTCATCGTTTATTCTTAAAGCTATGGCATTATACGGATAATTGCATTGGTAGAGTAATTTAATCACCTAATGACTGCACCTAATCACCTAATGTTATTTCATGGTACTTAATTTGTTGAAACGAGGTTACTTTATAATTATTCTACTTTAACTGTGAAAAGAAGGAAAGTGAAGGAGTAGAAAAATCATTTCGGCCAATCCCTGATTATAACAAGAATTAATGGATTGATAGCCTATAGCCTACATATAATATAATCCATAGCCACAGCTCAATTCATGTGAGCTCAACGAAAAATTCTTTTTACGTCCTTATTTTCTTGTCTTTCAGGTTTTCATTTTCGAAAATCTACAGTTTTCGTCCTTATTTTCTTGTCTTTCAGGTTTTCATTTTCGAAAATTTACAGTTTTTCGAAAATCTACAATTGTTTTTTTTCGTTTTTCTGTATATTCGATAAAATTTATTTCATATATCGCGAATGAAAATGAATATTGAAAATTGTTTTACAGATTCCTTACATAAACATTTTTAAAAAATGCATGATTGATAGATTATAGAATGCGTGAAAATATAAACAATATTCTCAACATTCTTATAAAAGCGTGCATAGAACAATTTTAATATTATTTCATAAACCGAATTTTTATTCGATTCGGTGTTTCATTTGCTTTATTTAAAATGTGAAAAATTTTAAGAAATTTTATTAAATAATCTTCTAAACCTTTTAAAAAAAGTTTTATCAAATTTTTAGCGTTTCATATAAAATTTTTATTGTTATTTATTATTTATTTGAATTTTATTCAAAAAATATAAAAAAGAAAAAATACCGAATATTTTCTTATAAGCTAGAGTTATCGTCTCTGTGTCCACTGACTAATAGGATAAAAGTCATTCGCCCATACACTCCCCGGGGCAGGGAGAGAAGTGCACTGACGTGAAGCAGCACTCGAAGGCCGAATTGAAATGCAATAAAATAAATAAAAAAGGTTTTTCAGTTTGGGGAATGGATGATATGAAAGAAATTTTCACTTTGTTCGACACGGTCGGTGACATGAAAATATCCATCAATGAGGTTATCATTTTTTTTTTCATATTGCATGTATTATTTAAATAATTACAATTAACTAAATGTCAATGCATTATTATGCATTATTATTTTTGATTTTATAGTTCGAATTGGATATTCTTCTAAATATTTACTGAAATTTTGTGGACGTATTCACATTTGTTTTATTTGCATGCATCTTGTTTGATACTTTCTTTGGATAAATTGTAGCAAAACCGCTTCCTAGAACAGTTGAAACTTAACCAATCGCTAAAATTTCTAAATACTTCTTTCTTTTGTCAGGTGGGCACATGTCTACGAGTTCTGGGCCATGCACCTACTGAAGAACAAGTGAAAATTCTGATAAAACCGTGGGAAGATAAAAAAGGTAAGATATTAAGAAATGAATAATCGCGCTAAAAGTGCATTTCTTGCATTGGCTAATCCAACTTTATTAGTTTGCCAAGGCCACAGCCATAATACGTGACGAACAATCTCAGCTCGATTTATTCTATCGATATTCCATCCATCCAATGACTTTTTAAATAACGTTTAGTATGAGTGAGTGTCATTTTATTAATTTAGTTTTCACTTTATTTGACTTTTTAAAATTTCGAAAAATATTTTATTTTATTAAAATAATGCAAATAGAAAAAGAAAATAAAATATTTCCCGATAAATGAAACGCATTGAATTTCGAAATTTAAGCAAGAAAATCAGCGAAAACTTTAATCATTTAGTCCATTTTTTCAATTCTCTTTGATGGAAAAAATTTTTCCCTAATGGCTTAATAGAGTGAATTTAAATAAGAAATAAAGGAATATTGAGACGAATAAAATTGACGAATAATTCGAAGTACTACCATTGCAAAAATTGCCATCGCAGCAACACAACATTCCGCTTCTTTCATGCAACTTTACATTGGTGCAATCATTTTTTATTTTCTGTAATGACGAAAAAATTTCTGCGAAATAATAGCGGTTTTTTAACTTCTTAAGAGTGTTTTAAATATATTTAATAAATATAACACAGATATCTGTTGATATTGATAGTATAATGCAAATATTTACTAATATAGCTAATGTAATCATCAGTCCATAAGCATCAAAATACTGCAACCGTTCTGGGTGGGTCGAACAAGTTTGTGGCCCACTACGCTGATATGTTTGAGCAGATAAATCTAGCCAGGGAGGTTATATGACGATTGAAGTACTGGTGAGTCGTTAGCTTTGCCGGTATTTTTGATAGACCGGTTTGCTTTAGATGGAAGCAGAAAACCACTAAGCCGCATTATGAATAAATTATTTTTCTTTTTATATTAAAATCAAATTGAATCAAAATTTATTTATTCTCTTATAACAGCGATTAGCTTATAAATTTCTTTTTTTCTTGAAATATTTTTTACGTTAAATTATTTTTCATATTGAAATAAAACAAATTTCGTGGACCAATTGGATAAATTTCGGCGAAAGGTCCATTATTAATTAAATTTAGTGAGAAATACATACGGAGCAATAGGTATCTAAACAGCCCAATTCGACAACAGGTTGCAAATCTTCTTGGCCAGGCGAAACGAATTTAAAGCAATAATCTAACGCATTTTGGCATTCCTTAAAATCGTAGTCTTCTAAAAATAGTCCATTAGCATTTTTCGCCGAATAACACAACAATGCATCCGTTGTGAAGTACACGCTGAAATGAATTATGGATAGCACTAATAGAGCGCGCATTGCACCTAAAAAAATTTATTTTATTTTTTAGCGGAAATTTAGGAATGCAAAACAGTTGCAAGAGTTGATTGTTGTGTATATAAATCTCCCGAAATATTTCGCCGCCAAATAAAATACATTTTGGTTCAGTTGGAGAATTTTATAGCGTTCCACCATAAAAATTAACCTGGAAAATTGAAGAAACAATCTATAGTAAGGCAAAGTTTTTAGATAAAATGTCATAGGTTCAAATGTGATTGACAATAGGCGAATCAAATTCGCCAAAGTTTTTTAAATTTTTGAAAGAAGTGGTTGCTTATAGCTTAAATTTTTTTAAGAGCCCTAAACTTAAGCATCGATCCTCTTTGGTTAAAAGTTCCAACCCATTAATATTTCAAAAATAATTTAAAATAAAATAATTAAACAATAAAATTGGAACGAATTATTAAATATTATTAATAAGTATATTAATATAATTTAATTGTTGCAAAGATTATTCTCGGCCAGTGGTCACACGGCTTTTTTGATAGGGCTCTCTAAATGGTGCAATAAAAATCTATGGATCCCCAGTGTAATATTTTGAAATTTTAAAATATCTATAACTTTAAAATAACTATTAAATTTTCCCATAAAATTGTTTAAATTTGAAATTAAGAAATTTTAAGAAATTTTGAATATAATACTGGGTAAAATATTCTTTAAAATGATTTATTACAATTCGAATAAAATATCACTCGAATTAGGCTCTCTTCCTTAGAAAACCATAATGGATCGTATAGAGTTCGTTGAAGTCAGTTTGATGGCCATTGTTTTGGGATGTAGCTGAACACTTTTTTATACTTTTATTTCATTTCTTGAAATAATTTCCCTTGTGTACCATGAGAAGCCCGAATTTTTCCATATCTCTATTATATTTTCTTTTTCCTCACAGAGTCCTCACCATTACTAGTTAAGCTCGTTTTCGCTGGCTCGAACGAATATTCCAAATGAATTATCTCGATTTTTTGATTAAGTAATTGATTATTAATTTTAAAAAATTTTTAGATATTTTTTGAAAAAATGAATTATTAATTATTAATAGCGAAGTATATAAGAAACAGATGTATAAGGCAAATGAGTCCTCGTTTAACTTAAAAAATGAAACTTATATTCCCAGTTTCAATTTTTATTAGAATCGCATATTGCGCACCGCGTGGACATTCTCTCCTCAGATTTACTTTCTTGCGAGCGATTTTAGCATATTAGCCAAGCCAAGGGCCAACTAGAAAATATGTGAATGCATGCAGACACTTTCTCTTATTCGCATACGAAATTCTGATTTTCATTTCGGTTTTGTAAACATAAAACATTTTTTTTTTTGAAATATATATAAATAAAGTGGAAATTTTTTTCGGCAAAAAAACTGCCGAATAAATTTCATTTTCAACGAGAATTTTTTTCTACTTTGATAAATTCGTTGAATTTATTCGGGAAATACAAATTGCAATTTGCGATAAAGAAAAAGCATAAAAACTGGCAAAACGCTTTTAATTATCTCTAATATTCGCTTAATCCGCTGAAGAAATCGCATTTATTCATTAATTCTCAATTAAGAAAATCGCATCTCTGCCGAGGAATTCATTCCAATTGTTAATAAAATAATTAGCTTGGAGAAAATTTGCAAACGCTTTTCTGTCTCCGAATACATCGAAGCGTTCAGTCAAGCGGAACGAGATCGCAACGGATTTATTCATTCTACGCAACTCAAATTTTTACTTATGCATATCGGTAAAAATTCGAAAATTTCTTCGGTCAGGCAAAACTTTTTTTGAATTTGTTGTTTCAGGAGAACGTTTGTCTCGAGAAGAAGTCGAAAAAACAATTTTAGGCATCGAAAATGCCGATGGCAAAATCGATATCGAAAGATACGTGAATCGAATTTGTGATTCGCAAGTCGAATTTTCTGAAAAGCTGCTTTGATTCATGATAAATCCTATAAATTTCTAAATAATTTCAATAAATTTTATTTGCTCTTCCAGCAAACCTGCCAGCAGCCTATCAATTGGTTGGCAATGCAACTGTAATTCCATCTCCAAGCGACTTTTTTCTAACGGGAAATGCTCCTACATTTAGCGAAGCGACTCCAAATAAAAATGGCGATTATAATAGAACAAATATATTTATACAAATAGCAGTGGCAAGAAAACAAAAAAATGTATGGATTACAGCTGAAGTAACGGTGAAAAAATATTTACAAAAGAAATTTTTTCTTTGTTTTTGCAGAATTTTAGATCGCAAATGTAAAAAAAAATTCACAAAGCATGGCAAATTTTAATAAAAAAAAATATCTTTATAAAAATAAAATAAATAGCGAAATTTAGGCATATATTGAAAGCATAGATTTCATTACCTATATTACTTACATTATTGAGAAAAAACAACTCGAAGATAAGAGGAATAAGTTTGACAATTTACCACTTTGTAGATTTTCTAAAATTAATTACGATAGCGCAATTTGTGCCTAAAAGCATAAAACAAACGATTCGGAATGTTTGCAATCCAGATACCTAAATAAGCTAAAAAAAAATGAGGTATACTGCGGATAAACTCTTCGGAGAGTTTTTACCAACAAACCCTGGATGAAAAAAAATTGACCTAATTAACTGAACGATCAAATTTAAAGACAAAATTTATAAAATGATTGACATAAGGTAGTAAAATATAGAGCAAAACGAGAGATCTTAATGTACAACTAAATATTTTAAGATGAAAATACCGATTCAGATGCGTTTGAGGTAAAATTCCTTCTATTATATTAGCGAATAAAAACCACCTTGGTGATGAAGGTAAGTTGAAGAATTAATTTTCTGCCTTAGCATTTGAATTTCAATGGTAAGTGATCTGTTCTATCGGCAATGTGAAGGTGCATTTAATTGAAATTCTGCCAAAAAAGGAAGATATAAAAAGAAACAAAAATAAGTTGGGAGCTTTAATGGACTATACCGGAACCCTTTCAATGCGAATTTCTAAGGACCAACACGCTCCAAACCATAAATCCTGGATGGATATTTCAGTTTTCAATTGAAAATAAGGTAATGAATTATTAATAATAGCTTTAAAGATAAAAAAAAGCATAGAAAATAAGCCAACAGTAAAAAATAACGGTACATATACAAAACATGAACTAAAGCTGCATTTGAGAGAGATTTATCGAAACTAATGGGCATATTTACATAACTGACCGCTTGGCAGTTAATACCAAATAAACGTGAACCTAGAAAATTCCAAAAAAATTTTTTTAGGCAATTGTTCACTTGTGATCACTTTGACCCGCAAACTAACCACAAGCTCATCATGCTTCATTTATTAATAACTTTTTGGTAATAATTTTGGTAATAATTTTAAAATATTTGCCTTTTTTTGCCATATACAAATTAAATTAGTTCGAATTAAGAATTCATATGATTCGCATTCGAAATGGCATCGACGAAAAAGTGCCAGTAAGTTAATGGATACTATTATTCCTTCGGTACTCACGCTTGTCCCAACCGTTATCCTTGATCATATGTGCTAGTTCGATTATAAATTTCCCTTCTTTATATTTCTGACTAAGTTCAAAAGCATGTTCCTGAAAATCGGATTATAAAATATTAAAAATGAAATGTGGTTTTTGATCGTATATTTTATGCATATTATGTATATTTTATTATCATTTCTTATTCATAAGATGAAGTAAACTAAGGTTGACGCTTACAATTCCCGGTCATTACACTGGCTGTTAAAATTTTTTTCCGTAGAGCCAAATCAATTTAGAAAGCCAAACTTTAGAAAATGTTTAGTTGCCATTTTATCTCCTTTTCATAAAGCAAATGCTATCTACTTGACAATCGACGTACAGATGGTGCTCGCCTGTATTCTATGGATTTTTGGCTTTAAAGAGAGGAATACTTATTCCAGAGAGCCAAAGATAGGATGGAGGAGATCTTTGCGCTCGGAGCAATAATATGAACTATTCGGCTATCGCCTCCCTCAATGAGAGAGAGAAAAAAGCGCTAAATATTTGTATTTGGATAAATAAAATATTTCCATTACATATTTTATCCATTTTTGATTATCATTTCTTCTCTTTTAAGATTTCCACCGACTTTTCAAAAGTCTAATCAAATGAAATTGGTTGATCCTTAATAATGAACAATGAATAAGGAAAGAAAATTTATAGTGAATAAGTTCTCAAACGGTGAACGTTGGATTTTGCTGACATTCATTCCATTTTGCACAAAATGACTGATAAAATATTTAATATTAAATTTAATCGATCAATTGAATAAAAATTATTTAACATAACTCCCTTATAAAATTTGAAATAAAAACGATGAATTCTTTAAAAATTTTTTTCTAAAAAATTGTGTTGAAAAAAAAGAATATATTAGAAAATTATAAAAATAAAATTAATTAAATGAATTTTTTTACGAACTAAAAAGAATTTAAAAATTAAATATTATAATTATGATCATAAAGAAGAAAGCGAGCGAAAAACTTAGAATTCGAGGGATTAAACAATTAAGGATCTCATCTTTCTACGCACGATTATGTTCGCTTATCTGAATCGTATGGACTTTTATTCGTCACCTATTATGTCCTCTGGACCATAATTTTTTTATGAAATTGGTCTCGATATAATGGTGGAGATGGTAACGTTATATGGTTGCTTCTTCTGTGTTGAGCGCTAGAAGTTTGTTTCCTTGACCAAAACAGGAGCAAACCTGACATTAAAAAATTCGCACGGTGATGGTGATGGCCTATACTTCTATCACCAAATGATTCCCAAAGCGGCAAAAATAACAACCAGCGAAACTAACCAGAATTGATGAGCGCTTATCCACTTATTTGCTTAAACTTATTAGAATGTGAATAAATCAAATCAAATCAAAAACTCGCTTGATTCAATTCAGTTTTTCGAAAATAATTCTAAATCCTTAATAACTCACATATTTCCATCCGAGAGTCGTTTTGCAGCATTCACAATAAATATCGGCGACAGCGTGCAGACCAGTTAATAGAACACGCTCTTCGGCGGGACCACAGCCAATATTAACTCTGAAATGGAAATCACCGTCTAATTTGGTAACGCATAATAGATTATTAGTAAAGAATTCGTCGATTGATAACGAGGATATTATAAAATGTTTTTTAAACTTTTTTCGTTCTAATATGTAAGAAAAAAACTGACAAATAAAGAATATATATATATATATATATATATTATAATTCTTTGTTTGCAAATAATGCAACAAACAAAGGAAATTTTTCACAAGGAAATTATTTGTTGATGAAAAAATATGTATGCGTTACGCAAAGATATTCCTTAATAAAGTGTTAATGCTTCGTGTTTTTCTAATTAATAGGGGAGAGGAAAGTGAGATGAACGGCCAGTGGTTTAGATTAGTGCTGAGAGGCAAAGATTTGGGTTCCTTTCCGCGATAGGAGGAAACCTGTGAATGAAAAGTCAGTCCGAGCAATGCTAACCACAGTGCTAACTCTGCACCTCTGTCGGCAAGTGATTCCCTCATAAAAATTTCTCAGTCAATCAGCGCAGTAAGCAGAATCAGAATGCGCTTATCGCTTAATTTTTTGCTTAAATAAAAAATGATCTCAAAATGGAAAAAATACACCGTAATAGTCCATAGGAATTTGTTAAAATTTATAATTTCACCATTAAAAATATTGAAAAAATAAATTATTTTCTCAAAATATATCTTACTTATGAATAAAATAATCGGCTAAATCTTTAAACACGTCATTTAATGAATTAAATATTAAATTAATGATCGTTCTGCGTTTTTTTTTCTGCATAAACTCGATAGAGATTTACTATAAATTTTTGAAAGAAAGAATTTGTCCCATTGATTTTCATTCATAAATTCTTATCACCTTATCATGTTATCATGCCATTTAATTCCGAATTATTCGCTAAGCTGAAGTTGAACAAAGAAACAACCAAAAAGATAAGCCAATTGTGCAAATTTAGTAAAAATCAGAAGAAAAGATGGATATGGGTGCAGAAGTTGAGTTATTTCATCATAAAGTCAATCACCTAAATTGTTTTACGATATTTAAATTAAATTATTTAAAATAATACATACACAGAGTTAAACAAGTAAGCTTTGCCTTGACTGCCTTGAAATGACTGAAAAAATAAAATTTTAATGATTTTCTTCAAAAACAGTAGAATCTGAAAAATTTCGTTATTGTTGCAAATATCAGTGGAAGCTCATCAACGATTTATTAGTACATTAGATTGCCATGTATTCTAATTTGTTACATTTCCATGAATGGGAAAACCTCCATCCAAACCAATCCATAGGAAACAGTTTAAAGAGATAATTGGAATGCAGAAATTTCCGATTCAAGTTAATTATAACGAGGAAATAATAATTGAAGATTATCGAACAGATTTACTTCAATCATTTTTCGAAACCCTTAGTCATATTTTAATTTACAGCAAATTTTTCTTTGTGTTCTTCGCTTGGAAGGCACATAAATTCAATCAAACAATGCGATTTTTGTCAAATGTCAAATTCCTTAAATTTATGCCGTTTATTCGACATTGAAACCACCAATATTAAATCAATTAGTCTCATCCTTAAATGCTTTTCATCAATTTTATTATAAGTTTTATTATAGAAAAAGAGAAACATGCGTGTCATATTTAACAAGCAAAAGCTTTTTTAAGAACTAAGAAAGATCAGTTAGTGAACAAGAAAGAATGGAAATAAATTTGGATACCTTTGAAATAAGTTCATTGTGATTAGCAAGGTTAGCTCGACAATGGACGCAGCTGTATGTTCTGGTACCATCGGGAAGATATGCCTTTAAGGAATATTATTAATGTGGTGCAAATTATTGTATTCTTAGTCTGTTTTATGGAACCTTCCAAGGGAATGTTAAATTTTCCAGATGGACTCAAAAACTGAAGGTCGTGAAATGATCCTATAGGTCTTTTGCCCATCATAGTAACATGACTACTGCGATCTTCGATTAATAATCTCACGCAACTCATTTCTTCACGTGGGCATTGACATGAAACCTGCTCCACACTTCTATTGAAGAAGCACTCGCACATCTCACTACACCAGTAGCTTGCACTCACCTTACACAAACATAAGTTTTGCATAAAATGGAAAATGTGCATTTTCTTATCTACACGGCTTATCAGATAAAGCCTTATATGGTGACGATGAGGTCGCATCTCACTGCTTATATTCTTATATCCCTATTATTTCGCTCTTTTTGCCAATTTTGCACCAATAAATGAGTCCTTCTTTTTTTTCTAAGAGCGCTCACCAGGTTAAGTTCGGCCTGCAAATTTTGCCAGGGAATCACTTGGCGATAGAAGTACAAACGAGTCGCCAGCATCACCCGGATTTTTGAAAGATAGCTTTATTTCTGCCGGAAATAGAATTCCAGCATCATCGACGCTCCAAAATGACAATCAGCAATAAATGAGTTTAGTCGCATAGCAAATAATAAGTTGCATCAAAATCGAAGAGAAATCACTAACCTGGAACGTTTTTGAACGTTCCTTCTTCCCAGATTCCACACTTTTAGCAGTTGAAATAGCCGCCATTTTTTTCTAATAAAATTAGTTTTTGAAAAATTGAAAAACGAAGAATGTGTATAAGTCAGGAATAACGACCGAAGGTCAAAAAATCCTGGTCTTTGTGTGTGCCAAACAGACGTCTGAAATTATTAATCGCATAAAACAGGCCAAGGTCAGCACAAAAAATTTCAAAAGATCATATTCGTATGAAACAGCGAAATACATCGATTATAAAACATCTGCTTCATCGAATTCGCATTCTTATTCCATTCTTAGTTAGCGTTAATTACGGCTCGATTTTAATTTGCATAATAGTGAAATATGCACCATTGGTGGTTTGGTTGGTTCCGCTAGGCTGGAATTTTTTTTTTCGCTACAAAATTAGCGACACAATTGGTTCCCTCTCGGACTAAGTTGAAATATAAAATTGAATGTGGGCTTATCAGTAGAAGAACAACAAAGAAATTTATGCTTTAAAAAACAAAATATTTCAAATTCGTGCCAAAATTATAGTTTTAATTTGAGTTGAAACAAAGAGATAAGGAAAGATTTAAACTTGAAATATTTGTTACAAATATTTGTTAAGAGAGCAAGAATTTAGGAATAAAATTTGAAATATTGTCGTAAGACTTGTAACAAATTATTAAATATCAACATCACTATCAATTTATCATTTTTTTTTGAAGGCCAGTACGATAACGGAAAAGAACACGAACATTATCAGAAATAAAACCAAATTCAAAATTTTTATCACTTGTTGGTTACATTCTGAACTATTAATTTAATTTTCTAATAGCTGCAAGCCGATTAAAATGTTTAAAATCATCGGTGATTAGCAATTTATGAAGAAACCGAAAGTCTAAAAGTGAAAGAATCACTTGGCGACATGAAAGAGATAATTTAGTTTTCATCCATTTCTGGATAATTGCTTGGAAAATCTACATGGAAAATCATTTACATAAATCCACTGACACGCTTAATGGCATTTTAAAATCAAATTTATGCGAATGCGAATAAAAATGTGAAATTTAGCCATTTTCGTTGGCGGTAAATCGTAAAATATTGCCATTTAAATAAAAAAATTAATTTATGGTCACCATTTTTATGGTTACTATCATGATAATCAAAACCAGTTATTTTCAGTTTTGATCAGTGATTATATTGAATTTTATGAGAGAACTCATTTATTATGGATTAATGGGAAAATATAGATTTTTAATTCACTAATGATAATTTTAAAAGAAGAAATAAAAATTTAAAAAATGATAAATTTTTGAATTTTTTTTAGTTCTAATTCTATAAACCACAAGAAATCAATTTTTAATTAAAGTTTTAATTGAATTAAAGCTTAAAAATTCATATTCCTTGCGAAAATCAACATCGCATGAAAATCCACAACGAATACAAAAAGTTGATGGGATGCCTGACAGGCCTTTAGGCGATCTAACAGGCCTTTGGCCAGGAGCCTGATCAAATACAATAAACAGAAATGAAAAATATGCGATACAGCGATAAATTTATCCAACCTAATGAAAAAGAAATCGGTATTTTTTAGTACTGAACCAAGCAGAATTTTTTTGGTGAGGCCAAATTCAATCACAAATCACAATTATAAATTAATTAAGCTTATTTTTATTCCTTTTGCATATTTTTTAAAAGAGATTTCACTATTACTGGTTAGACTCGGTCCGCTGGCCCGTCGCACTGGACAAATATGCCAGGGATATTCTCTTAGCGACAAAAGTACAGATGAATCGCCAGCATCACCCGAATTTTTGGACAAATTTATTGCTATAGGGATTATTTATTCCTTTCACATATACGAAATGAAAAAATATAAATTATGGAAAATTGCAAGCAAAATCTATTATATCACCTCATTACCTATCATCCAGAAATTTTCTTTTATTGCACGCGTGAACAAATCTTTCAGATGAAAATTTTTTGCGCGAATTGTGATTGATATGATAAAGGTAACTATTTGCTTTTAGTAACAATTTTTAAGATGTTTTTTTAAAAAAATCACAGTGGACAATAGGAAAGAATCGGGAAATATATTCGCTAAGCTTCGAAAAATATATTGAAAAATATTGGCCATAAAAAAGTAAGAAAATAGGCTCATTGAATAGGCTCAGCGTCATTTCGATTCTATTTATTTGTGAATCCATTCGCTTTACTTCGAGTTTTATGGACGATAAATAGGCAAATTTATTAAATAAATAAACAATCAGCAAATATTCCTTAAAGCTTTTTGAAGAAAACAAAGAGATTTGAATCGCATCTGAGCGAAAGTTTTCTTGAAGAAAACTACGAATTTCATTAAAAAATCATTTATCAAAGTAGCAAGAAAAAACAGAAAAGCCTTTTATTTTTCATTGCAAAAAACAATTTACTTCAAATAAAACTTTTGGCTGAGAAAACGGAAAGTTTCTTCTTTTCAACAGTAATTTTGATCAACCGGTAAAAGACGATTAAGACGAAAGCATTTAGCGAAGTATGGAATGCACATAAATATAAATGTGCGCACGGCACTCAAAGATTTCAAACTTATTCCCAGCAAATAAGCAATGCACAATGCTTGAATTTAGCTGAGGTAAACGAAACGTCTTTCATGGATGAATTCTCCTACTTAGCAGCAAAAAAAATGAGCGTGCAGAAAAACAACCGTTAACGTAAATAGCAAAAAACGCCTCAGGTAATGAACGATGCAAACCAATGCACCGTTGCACACTGTTCAAAAAGAAAATAAAAAAAGCCCATAAAAAATCATTTTATCGTCCGATGACTTCAAATTTTAAACTTTAAATTTTGTAAATATAAAGAAAATAAAGAAAATAACCCGAAAAAAACAAAATTTGGAAGGAATTTCATAAACTAAAACTCATTCGTTTTCAGCGAATAGGTAAGACGATGGGTAAACCAAAATATAAAAATATTTGTTTATTCGCACTGAGAAACCAATGCAAATAGAAACTTTATTTAGTGACATATATATTTTATTTTTTGTATTTCAAAATTTTTAGAACTTTTGATATTAACGAAAATTGCTATCTCATGTTTTGCTGAGGGGCCAATTTCTATCCGCAAGTAATTCGCTGAAGACCGAGTAGATGGGATCAGATAGAAGAGACCAGGTGGAAAGAACCAGATGGAGGAAACCAGGTGGAAGGAACCAGATGGAGCGAACCAGGTGAAGAAATGAATGGCGTTATACATTGCTGGAGGGAACTGAATATAATGTTTAATGTCCTTATAATGTGGTTGTTAACCATTGAATTTTTTGAATAAAAATGTTTTTAATCAAATTTTCTCTTTTTTTTGCAAAAAATAGATTAAAGATTATTATTTTTATAACACATTTATTCTTAAGTAAGTGATCAGCAGTCACCATTTCTAGTTGGGCATATCTCACTTGGCTCATTTGGCTCATTTGGCTCACCTGGCTCACTTGGCTCTCTTGGCTGCTAGAAAATTTTATAAAGGAGCCACAAGGAACAAAAGAAAGTCGCCAGCATCGACGTCCCCGAATCAAACACAGTTGCTGTTTGAATGAAATCTGCAAAAATTGCTTGAAGAAGAAATCATGTGAAAAGAGAAAAATAAGAAAATGGAGAAAAAAATAAATGAATTTTGCAAAAATAACAAAACGATACAGTTTTACTGACGATTTGATGAAGTGTGCACGACTGGAAGGAAGGAAAGGAAGAAAATTGTTTCAAAAAGACGAAAGAAAACTAGAATTATCGAAAATGGGGTCGCTCGATTCGTCTTTATTAGAGAAGGAGACCCTCGCGTGTTACTCAACTCAACTAAACAAACAGGTCGGTAGGCAATCAGCAACAACAACGCTTAATAAGATGGACGGTAGTTGATGATTTGTTGAAAAGCACCGACAAAAATAATAAATTTAAATTTATACTTGAAAAGCGAAAAAATTGATTGTTCATGAAAAGAAACACATGCATCCATGTGATGATCGACTATGTAATATTTTCATGATTGGTCTAAATATATAAAATTGCAAAAGGTTGGAAAGAGAATCGACCTATGACCTATATAAAGCAAAATATTGCAAATAATGAGCAGAAGGAGTTTTCGCTTGCAGTCGTACAATTAAGCAATTTAGACAAAAAGAAAAAATAAAAGTAAAAAACATTGTTGTAAAGACTCGTGCCAAATCGCACTAGCCAAATGTCAAAATCTTGTGGCGTTCGCAGCGAAGATATCGAATCACTTGAAGATCACCTGCATTGGCAGTGATATGATCAAAGTAGATTTTGAACGCATAGGCAACATTTTTATGATTTCTGAGTTGAGCTTAGAAAAATGGAAAAATATCGGACCTGCATGCTTGGAGAATTTCGGAGATTTAGCGCGAGCGGTCAGCCAAACCTGAAATGGCGACAGCT